TACTTTTCGGGCCATGGCTAAGGTCGCTTCAATAATGCTTCTATGTGTGTTATGCAAGTAGCTGTACTGCTTCTGGACACGTACATATCATTTTGCCTATCAAAAGTTGAACCCTTTACTGTATACATGTAACGTTAACAATGCAATGTCTGGACGCCATATTGGTAATACTTTTCGGGCCATGGCTAAGGTCGCTTCTTTTTATGTGTGTGAATATTCAAGTAGCTTGTACAGCTGTATGTAAGCTTCTTGAAGCGTGCACACCGTCTCTGCCTTTCAAAAGTCGACTTTGAGCCCTTTACTGTAACAATGCAATGTCTGGACACCATATTGCTAATACTAATACTTTTCAGGTATTACGGCTGTCGTCTATCAAAAGTCGACTTTGAACCCTTTTATTCTGTAACAATGCAATGTCTGGACGCCATATTGGTACATGTAATACTTTTCGGGCCATGGCTAAGGTCGCTTCTTTCTATGTGTGTTATGCAAGTAGCTTGTACAGCTGTATTTAAGCTTCTTGACACGTACATATCATCGTTGTCTTTCAAAAGACTTTGAACCCTTAACTGTAACAATGCAATGTCTGGACACCATATTGCTAATACTTTTCAGGCAACGGCTGTCTATCAAAAGCCGACTTTGAACCCTTTTGTACTGTAACAATACAATTGGGCTGGTCTCAATCATGATGTTTCTGACTCAGGGAGAAGAGTTGCTGTTACAGTTCTATACCTCTAGCTCTATGCCTAGAAGTGGCCAAAAATGGCCTTGCATTGAGCGACACCGGTAAAAAAATGTCTGGACGCCATATTGGTAATAATACTTTTCGGGCCACGGCTGAGGTCGCTTCTTTCTATGTGTGTTATGCAAGTAGCTTGTACAGCTGTATTTAAGCTTCTTGACACGTGCATATCATTCTGCCTATCAAAATTTGAACCCTTTACTGTAACGTTAACAATGCGATGTCTGGATGCCATATTGGTAAATTTAGGGCCATGGTTAGGATCGGTTCTTTCTATGTGTGATGTCACGCGTACACGTACATGACGTATGAGGGTTTTGTGTCAGCTTGCTACTGTCACGCCAAAAGTCAAAGGTCACGCTATGAGATGCCACAAAACTTGGACTTCACACGTGCATATCATCTTTGCCTATCAAAAGTCGACTCAGTGAAACTGTAACAATGCAATGTCTGGACACCATATTGGTAATACTTTTCGGGCCATGGCTAAGGTCGCTTCTTTCTATGTGTGTTATGCAAGTAGCTTGTACAGCTGTATTTAAGCTTCTTGGCACGTGCATATAATTTTGCCAATCAAAAGTTGAACCCTTAACTGTAACAATGCAATGTCTGGAAACCAAATTGCTAATACTTTTCTGGCAACGGCTGTCTATCAAAAGTCGACTTTGAACCCCTTGATACTGTAACAATGCAATGTCTGGACGCCATATTAGTAATACTTTTCGGGCCATATGGCTAAGGTCCCTTCTTTCTATGTGTGTTATGCAAGTAGCTTGTACATGTACAGCTGTATTTAAGCTCGAGCTTTTTGTCACGTGCATATAATTCTGCCTATCAAAAGTTGAACCCTTTACTGTAACGATGTCTGGACGCCATATTGGTAAATCTAGGGCCATGGTTAAGGTCGTTTCTTTCTATGTGTGATGCCAAGCGTACACTATGAAGGTTTTGTGTCAGCTTGCTACTGTCACGCCAAAAGTCAAAGGTCACGCTATGAGACGCCACAAAACTTGGACTTCACCACGCACGGGCCCGGGGGTGGCGACAGACCGGCGCCTGTCAAGAACAGAAACGGTCACGGGCTTGTAACTACATCGATAAACCTGCTGAAGGCTATACATCATCTGTACAACATTCAAGCAGACGTTGGGAGAGAGAGTAGTTTCCTGGCTGACACGTTGGAACGAAAAAATTAAAAGGCTTCAGCCTCTACCAGGCTTCAAAAGCGGCTGCACTGAAAGAGATTTCGCCAACTTTGCACTTTGGCACCTGCCATAGGGGTATACTAGGCACCGTACAAGGCCCATACACGTTGAAAGGGGTTTGTTTCAGAAAAAAAAAATGGTACAATCAGGAAAAAAAAACACGATCTTTTCTCCAAACATCTTATTATGTTTACCGAAGGAAAACATATTGTTTCTGCTCTGTTTCCTCTTCTTCACCTAACCAATAAGGTCAATGATAGACCTGGACCAGACGTCTGTCACCATGGTAACTAGTATTGGGTTACGTAATGTTGCAATTTTATAGCAGGAGCGTTTAGACTCCTGGCTGACCATATACTAGAAGTATATGAATGTGTTTGAGTAAGTATTAACAGAGCAGACCATATGCGAGGGTAAACATTATGCATTTGCTTGCAAATGTTACCTTTCTAGTTGGACATCACGTTTGTATTCCCTAAGGCAGGGTGGACAGAAGGAGGTTCAGAAGCGGAAATAATGACACGGTCTTCCCGATGAAAAATGCATATTATCGATCCGCTGGACTTGATTACATGCTTCTCTGGATAGCTGCTTCATCTTTAACCTACTGGTTAAAATTCTAGACATTAATCTAATTATAATCCCATCATAGCAAGTCAGAAAATTTCAACGTTCTGGTAGTTAAGGGTGGTGCCACAAACTGAGTGCGCCTCGTGTGGGCTGTTTTATTGGTAACCATGTTAGAAATTGGAATTAATATTGTTAATATCACAAATATGCATATGTTGGAAGTGGAAGTAAATTACAATCATACAAAGATTTTTCGGTGCAAAAATGTTACATAATGACCCTGTAAACTCATAATATTAATACCAAACAGAATGTCAGATCTATTTGCAGTCGTAAATAGAAAATATTAGTACAAATATATCAAGAACAAGCCGTTGGCGAAATGCATTCAACAATTGACATAGGGTTGTATTCACGGCCTCAGTTTTGTTTCCTTCCGAGTTTGTGTTGAGGAGATTAAATATCTTCCAAAGTAACGTTTTGTCAACAAAACCTAACTGTTTACGGTTAACTTTGCTTTCGAAAGACATACATTTCTAAGAGATCTTGTGATATTTTTCCTGGGCATACCTAGCCTCCATAGCATGCCAAAAACTGGGGGGTTTGGGGGGTCTTCGGGGACTTTGGTAGCTTTTATGTGCTGTTTTCTGATTTCATATAGACAACATAGCCGGACTGGTTGAATTACCCCCGTTTTTTTAGAATTGGGCTAATCAGAAAACAGCCGAAAACCACCAAACCCCCAGTTCTATAAGTCTGCTACGGAGGCTAGGGCATACCTCTGAATCGAGAAATAGCCGGGTTAATACCCGGATCTTAGCCGGATTTGCATGCGTGATTGTCGGATTGCGTTATGTATTTTATCGGTGTTTATTTACTTTAGCTAAAAGGTTAACGCAATGTTAAGACCTTACGGAAGGGCGATTCTTCTCCTTTGTTTATTTGGTAACGTTAAACACGATCCCAAATGAGAAGAGCCTTTTTTTATTTTTCACCTTACTTTTAGCAAGTCCGAAACAACTGAACTGAACTTAGCAAGTCCAATCTTCCTTTATATCAGTGCATATATTTATAGGCTTCTTTCTGATTTTCTACCAATCTTCAAGGACCAACTACAGTTAAGCGTATATAATTATGTGTGAATGTTTAAACGTTGAACAGTAGAAGCTTCTTGGTTTAACAATAAGAAAGGGGTATGAAGAAGGAAGTACAGTGTTTTTAAATTGTTGTTCTCAATTCAACTTCTTGGTCTTGTTTGACAAAAAATTGGCATAAAATCATAGTTCACGTCCCCCAGTCTTTTAACGCATTCGTTTACATTATAGAGAAAAATAAGTCAACGACAACAATTTAAGTGACAATAAGACAAAGTGTCTGAAGACCCAGATGTTTCTGAGATAGCATCCATTATCTGTCATCAGATTCAGTGACTGAGTCTCATTTTGATATTCTCAGACGGACATTCTCAGTCACTGATGAAAGATAGCAGATACTATACGATGTTACACACTTGTTTTCTTTTAAAATACTATGTAATGTAATGTAAATGTATATATAATTGTACGTGATGTGTTGTTATGTCTTACATGTATGTACCCTCTCCTGGAAGAATAGTTGCCACCCTCGGGTGGGCAGCTAAAGGAGAGCTTTTCCTCAATAAACCTCCTCAACTATCTGCAACGTTTGACTCTTCAGAGCCCTGTATTCAGTTTGTTTTGTATAATAAACTAGGTTCCTTAGTATGAATTGCGGGAGGATCTAAGGTTGCGGGAGGATCTAAGGTCTAAGGTAAGGTTAGTATGAATTACTAGTATAATGTAGTTTTGACTGCATGTCTAACCTTTATTCATAAACGCATTCATCTGTTTGCAATTTGTAGGCCATTTGACTAGGAATGTCGGTGAAGGTTAGACATCCAGGTAATAAGATACGCCAAAAACAGTTACTCAAGCAACTGGATGTGATTTTGGAAATAAATTTTGAAATATGATTTCCAAAATCATATCCATGGCCAGTTGCTTGAGTGACTGTTTTTACGCGCATTTGACGCAAAATATGTATGCTTGGATTGCAATTATTTCTTACTTTCTATGCTTAAAACTCTTTTTATTTTATAGATTAAAATAAATCATAGTTCCAACAAATTTTAGTTCTGACTGGAAAGGCAGGAACCGAAAAAGACGGGCGCCTCCCGAAGCCTGGTAGAGGCTACACGCGACGGTTGTCTCAAAAGCCATAGCCTCCACCAGCCTCCTTTTGCAGGCTGTATAAATCGTAGAAATCAGCCTAAAAAGGCATACAATTGTCCAATTGACCCTCGATGGCCGGGAAACACCTCTGGCCTTTTATATGCCCTTTTTAGGCCGATTACTACTATTTATACAGCCTGCAAAAGAGTCTGGTGGAGACTAGGAAACCACTGTGCGTCTCTCAGTATATTTGCATGGGAGATTGTGCGGAGCATGCGCCGTGGCGGGCGCGCAACCTGACCCCTAGATCAATGGGAGAAGCCGCCGCGGGTCAGTCGTGCTGCAAGGCGCGCTACATGTACGGTACGGGCCGCACGCTCGGGCCTGCCGCCTCCCCCCGCCATGGTACCCGAGCTAGCCACCGCTCTGCTCGCCCTGGTGCTCTACCACAACACCTGGGACGCTGACTTCGCTTACGACGACAGGTAAGAGCCGTGGGTTCGCCCTAGTTTTTACGGGAAGGTGCTAGACCCACACCGCGGAAGTTGGGCTCCCTAAACTACGCTAGCGGTTATGGTACACTATGGTCCCATTCAAGAGCCTCAAGGACTTCAAATTAGCTCGAGTAAGTGTATAGGTCAATGGTATTAGGGGATTTAGTGGCCATGATATGTACAGGTGTTGGAAGTGGGGTCTTTGGGGCGAGGAACAGCTATGCTTGTTCAGTATTCAACCGGGAAACGTGTTACGAAGTTGCGCGGTATCGCTCTTTTATCAGTCGGGAGGTTGGCGAAAATTTGCGACGTCGAACCGAAGCCCCAGTCGACACCCCGGCGTTCAGATCGTTTCTTAGGCTTTACACAGAATTATAGATCGCATAAACGTCCTACATTGATAGATGACAAGGTAGGAATTGGCATATTTTGTCCGGGATGGTCAGGGTTTGTTGTGCAAATGAGGAGCTGTCCGTACCCACTCGGGGTACCGGTGTGTTTTCCTTCTGGTGTCGGGTGTTGCTGCTCCCCTGTCCCGCATGTTTTATCACGCCTCCCCGGTAGGTCCCGATAAAAACTTCATGCGGAAACTCACATCTTCAAAACTGTCAACATTCTGGATTTTTTTGGTTAACATGTAAATTTTAGGCAATTTTTTTACCAATCTTATTTTTGCTTACAATTTTGATTTTTTAAAAATACGTTAGCTCTTAATTTCTTCTTCTTGTGTGCGTTACCGTTGCACTAGCACCCGAAAACCAAGAGTAGATATTACAACAGATTATCTTGAGTAGATTTCTCTTTCTTTTTGAAATCAACCGAGGAAAAAAAATACAACCAAAGAAAAAAAATCAAGCCCTGGGTCTTTTCTTCCCCACTTCAGACGAAAATCCGTCTCCAGTTTTTCAGCGGTCATGCCCCGCCTTTCTTTCCGTTTTTTCACGCTTTCTCTTCAACTTTGCATGTGAATAAGTCGAATTCAAAAGGCGGAGAAAAGAACCACAATCTGCAAGGCTAAAAAGGCGAAAGTCGGCTTTCTTTAGGGATAAGTTCATTCCTCGGGATTTGCTCGACAAATAGATAGAGTTGGAATGTTTGCTCCTGCCAGCATACGCCTGTCATAGCTGTTATACCATAGACTGCAGGTGGGTAGCTAACCCTTCGCTCAAACTGAGGGAAAAGTCCTAAGCACCATACCTGTTGTAAAACAAACATTCTTCCGTGGATCAGTAAGCCAAAAATGTGCTAATAAGAAAGACAAACATTACTGCAAAGGTTGTAGAGTTGGAAAATAAATGACATTGAGAGGGATACAGAGGTTAGAAATATCATAGATCACTCTATATACCATTTTACACTTAGCTGTTCAAGTCTTTAAGAAAAGCCTTCATATGAAACATTTGATAATTGCCAACTTTTAATATAGTTCTTCATTTTACTCATTATTTCATTCCACATTCTAGAAGATGACAGTTTGGATTTCACCTCAACACAATTTGTATGTGTGAATCTTATTTTTGCAGTGAGCAATGAGATTTTTTTTCACCAGTAAATGTTCAAGCTCAAAATATGCCCTCTGAGTCTCCTTAAAAAAAAAGAAGAAATTTCTTTTCCCTAATTCATTTGTTTTTGCAGTAAGCAGTGTGGATCTTGGTAGGCTGTATCAGTCACTGATCAGTTAATGATGAAGTTTTGTCATGAAGAGGTGTCTGAGACAAATATGTGCACTGGGCAAACTGTTCCCTTTCAAGCCTGTTTGGTCTGGCCGGACAAAAGCCTGCAATGCCAACACACCCCTTTCACTGCTTTTCAAAAAAACGTGAGACAAACACCAAACTCCCCCCCTAAACGGTTCTGTATACCCAACAGATTTTGGCCGTCGTTGCTTTCTCCGCAAATGGCGGGAATAGATTGAATGGCAAATACAACAAACTTCGGCGCCATCCTTTGACTTTGATACTTGGGACATTCGAGCCACACCTTGTAAGAGAGTACAAAAGCTCAGAGTTGAATTAGGGGTGGATAATTTTCTCAATATTTGTAGCAAATGGCGTAGCGTAAAGCGATAGGATAACCGGATTCGCAAGGTCAATGGTGGATAGAGAGCCACATGTACGCGACCCATTGACCGACCGCAAAATGATAGAAGCAACGTGGTCTACGATTTCATCTGCGCCGTGTGCTGCTGTTACGCTTTTTGATACGACTTAAAGGATAACAAGAACGGTACAAAGACGTCCCCAACTGCCTTTCTGTTCGCATGTTTACTGTTGTCCTGCGGGCCGCTGCATTTCAATGGGGTGTCCATTTCACTTAGCCACCCCTGATACTCGGCCAATTGTCACTACTTTGGGTCACTTTATATTGTGTTCACCCTAGGAAAAAGACTAAAGAGGCAATCTTTTTACCATATGAAAGCACAAGATGGTCAGAAGTGGTCATTTGGGAAAGGTATTGTTACCATGCATGAGAAGCAGACACAAAGAGCTTTATCTTTCAAATATCTGCTATGCACTGTCTTATGCAAAGTATTGCAATGGAACTTGCAAATTATATGGCCTGGCAAGGAAGGAAATGCTAGACTTCCAGAAAATGCGAGCACCCGCGAATGCTACAAAAGTGTAGAGTTCTATCATAATAGCCCCGGGCTAGTATGCAATTTTAGAGGTTCAGACCCAGATCCTTAAACTAGTGGTTAGATTGTTGACTTGTTGATATTTTGGAGAGATAGCTTCTTTCACCGATGCCGACATATGAAGAGAACCAGTCTTTCTACATTTCATTATAACCTTCTCGTCTCTCTCTGTATAATATATTGTGTCACATCTAGTCGTGAAGTATGTCAAAATTATGGGGTAGGTACTCCTTTGATCATTCCGGTTTACGAGTTGGCAAAGATGTGTGAAGTCGTCTAATTGTTTGGCAGACAATTTTTTTGACACATGTTTTTGGTCCTATTTTTCTGCTATTTCTCACCTCACCCTTTTGTTATTTATGTGGGAGTAAAAAAACAAGTTAATTGAAGTTAGTAAGGTTGTAAATCAGTCCAAGTAGAAAGTTTAATGTTGAATAATTTGCTTGCTTTGGGACAGAAATGCTTTGTAGTCTGAAACATAATTTACAAGCATCAGAAAGAAATACGCACCAAGAAGGCACATGAAAACTCGTAAAGAAGCCCCAAGACATTTATGGCAAATAAGTTAAAGCACTTGACTTTTTAAAGGGGAATTTAATAGGCTTCTATGATTTTTCATATAGATAGTAGACAATAACTCTCTATATTTATGACTAAATAAGTCACATATGAAAATATGTAATGTCGTTTATTTTCTTTGTGGAATTTCTCTTAAAGTTGACTCTCCTAAATCATAACAATGTATCATGGTTGCAGAGCTAGAGTTAAAACTTTTATTTTTTTTCTTTCAAAACCAAGACTGCCTCTCTTTCCTCTTTCCTTCCATGAAAATGACCAGTATGTTTTCAGTAGTTGTTTCCTAATCTCCAAGTAGATCCTAGTCTTTTGCCACCCTAGGATCTGCTTGGAGATAAGGCCAATTTCTTTTTACTAAATTGTAGCCCTTTTTAGTCCAGCTTTTGTAGTCAAGCTACTTGTCAAAAGAAAGACAAGACCTCATTAGCACTGAAGTGAACAATTGACTTACACAATTATGCAATATTGTATGAGTGGTTTAAAGATTACAACTGGGGTCTTATATGTACCCAGAGCAATTTTGGGAGCAGTGAAACTGCATTTTCAAAGTCAATTTTTGGTTATTGTTCAATGTAAAGAATTGAATCAACCATATCCCATAGCATACTAATATCTCTGAGGAAAAATGCAATATTGCAGATGGAAAAACATTTGATATTTTTAGAACGTAGGCTGGTTCTAGATACATGTATTTACTGGTAGTGGTAGCACCAAGAAGTAAAGGATTCCTAAGTTAGCTTGTTTTTTGGGGCTATTTCAAAGGCTTCAAGTATAAAATGAAGACAAAAATGTGTTGAGGAAAAATATGATATGAGGAAAGCCTTGAAATGTTGTGAAGCAGCTTCAGGCTTGTTCAAGGATATTTTTTCACTAAAAACCTCCTTCCTTGTGCACATTGAGTGGATTTGCGAACATACACTACAGAAGGGTAGCCCTCTCTGTAAAGCTTTCCACTTTGTATCACTCAAAGTAGGGCTGGAAATGTCAGACCCATTATAGGATATATGGGACTTCGGCATGGGTTAGTTCTCGTCATTTTGCAAAAGGTTACCTTGATCTTTACTGTATTCTTAGAAGGCCATGTCTTTTCTGGAAAAGGATATCTCGCAGTTCAGTTTAAAATATTGTGGTTTCGGGACTGAAAAAAAAAGAAACAAGAAAGATTGGGAATGTAAATCAACTGTATGATATGTACTTATTTTCAAAATAAAAACTTTAATTTGTAAATGTATGAAATTCTATGAATGATATTCATGATACAGTTGTTAATTTCTTTAAAGGTAATCCACCATAGCTGAAGCTGAAACAAAGACTGTTTGGCATTACATAGTAATTGGATTAATTCCGTTGTTTGAAGTACCTGAAACTGGGGGGTCTATGTAACAGTATGTTTACACTTTCCCAGCCTTTTTGGAGACTTCATCAAAATCAAGAACAAAGAGATTTTTGTAACCTGGCCTAAGTGACTTATTTCTTTGAAAAATTGGAGCAAATTGAAGCCATTCCAGGCACAAGGCACGTATCCTGGTAAAAGAACCTGGTCTTTTTTGTACCCCTGTGATTTTAGATGGACCAAAGAGGTTAGAGAGACCAGCCTCCTTGAATGGAAAATTTAAAAAAGAACAGGTGGTTTTTATATTTTATACCATATGTCAGACACGCTTTTGGTTTGACAAATGATATACCCACTTCACCTAGACTTGATTTCCTATAGTATATGCCAGACTCTTTGCCTAGACAAATTGGTGTGTTGGTCTGGCGTCTGCCTTTTTTTTGTTTT